TAGACCAAACAACTAATTGATTAATTGAGAAAATGTTTGACTGATTAATTAAAAATGAAACCAATCGTTAGTTGCAGCCTTACAGGTTAATGTATCTTCAGATGATACAATAGCTGACTCTTCTGCGAGACCTACATACATGAAATTAAAAGAAACTAGTCATTGAACAGTTATGATATTAATTTAATGATTTAAATCTGTATATGTGATCAGCGGCCTGTTAAATGCTAACAAATAAAGCGGTAATGATTGTGAATCAGAACAACCAGCAAGGAGACAGGAGCAGCCCTAATTCTGATGAACCTGGAGATCAGCTGAATGATCCTGAAAGTGATTGGAAGATATTTTAGATTAAGTCACGATTACAAAAGGGTCAGAATGAATGGAGAGAAAGAAAACTGATGAAACAATTAGTGGAACAATCAATTAGTTGATCGAGAGTAAACTGAATATCTTTGGGTTTTGGACAAAACAAGACATTTTATAGATCATAATTGATAAAAAAAAAAAAAGTAAAATTTTTTAACTTTATTTGATTGTAGTAACATGGAAAACCTGGAAAGGAAACAACATGTTGGATCTTAATTTGTGGGACTCAAAAATCGTTAAGTGCTTTGTAGCGTGTGATGAGTTAATGTTCAACCAAAGGAAAACAAAAGGAACTTAAAGACTGCTAAAGCATGTGAGGAAATGTTTATTAAGGGCAATTTGAAGGGCTTTAGTAATAAAATTAGCTGCGTTGTTGCTGTGCTGAAGTTTTGTAATGGAGTCATAAATTGACCACGCAGGCTGGTGCGTCCTTTATCTGCGGAGGTGTATCAATCTCTAAACCAGTCGAGAGCACAAACAAACACACCAAGCTCTCAATCAGCTCCCAATGAGCTTCCCTCTCCGGTTCCCACAGAGGCATAATCCCTCCCGACAGGACATTTATTAACAGGGGTCAGGAACCTGCCGCCGTATATGGAAACTACAGTCAGCCTATCAGATCTGTAGGTATTTCCTGCTAAACACACTCAAGGCTAATTTTACCTTGCGTCTCTGCCTTTTGTCTCCTTAATCAAACATGTAGCGATGCTCAAAGCTGCTTAGAAAGAGTGCAACAGTAGAAGTAAGTCCATTTGTGGTGTGGACATTTGCTAATAGATGTAGAAACCAGGAAGAAAATGAAGGCCTGAAATCTGTCTCGTTCACTCATTCACTATATAGACCCGCAGTAGTTCTACTCCACAGCATTAACATGTTCTCATGCAGGGCTGACAGGAAGTATGTGTCTAATTTATGCAATTCCAACACTGTTTATGGACCAGAAATATTCAAATACATTGATACATTTATATATTTTTGTCCAAAAACTGGATGGGATTCGCCATAAAGTGGGCATGTGTTCAGAGGGAGCTCGTGGGTACCCGTAGAACCCATTTTCATTCAGAAATGGAACTGACAATTCCTCCTTGGCATGCTAGAATAACACGGTTGGTACCAATGGATGCGGTAGGTCAACTAGTTTCATATGATGCCAGTATCTCACTCAAGCTTTAATATATAAATTCAACACAACTTCAGACACTCAAATAAATGGCAGACGATAAATAAAGGGCTGTATGTAGTTAATAGGGAGTGATTTTGGAGTTTCTTGACAAAATTATGTATATCAATCAAAAAAAGTGCTGACAGATGCCTTCTTCTTCTTCTTCCTCACAATGCTTCATAATGTAGTCGACAACTGAAAACAGATAGTTTAGAGAAAAACAGGGTAAACGTTTGTTTTTTAAACCGTCCATATGACCCATGATGTATAATTTACATTTTCCAACAATTAAACTTTTGAAATAAATTGCATCTTAAACACCAATTGGTCCAGGGGTAGAGCGCGCCGTCCACTAATCGGGAGGTCGTTGGTTCGAACTCCGCATGTGGAAGTATTCTTGAGCAAGATACTGAACCCTGCGTCATCGGTGTGTGTATGAATGAACCGTCACTGTGTGAATGTAGTGTAAAAGCACTTTGAGTGGTCGGAGGACTAGAAAGACGCTATACAAGTACAGGTCCATTCACTGAAATATCTGGAAGATTTTAATTGCAAAAACTTTGGTGTCACCTTCCATCCAGTGCCATCATCAAGTCATCTGTTCGGGTTATTATTATTTTATCCCCCAATAAATCGCATTTTTGAACGCCGCAACAGGCTCACTAAGTGTAGGTACAACTGTCGCACAACACAGACACACAGAGAGAAAATAGCAAAGAGACAGACCAGAGAAAATGACAGAAAGTGTCCAAAGTTTTGGGGTCATCTGTCATTCATCCATTAATCATAACAAATACCTGCAACACTTACAACAGTCTGCAAGTTGAGGATGAATTTCGGTCTGTGGCCCGTTTTTTCATTTCTTATTTTTGACTTGAAAGCTGTTATTTGTGTTTTGTATTGGATTCAAAAACAATGGTCGGTCGATGTCTGCAGCCATCGGCTGCCTTGCTCTCTAAATATAGGCCAGTGAAAAAGCCATATCAGTCAACCACTATTGATAAAGGAATAACGAAATAACACATTTTTTCTATACTAAATATAAAAAGAACAAATGATACAGATTCATTTCCATGGCCCCCCAGCACTAAATACATTACGTTTTGTTTGTAGCAGGCTGTAAACATGTTTATCTCTGCTGTATTTAGCATTTTAATATGGGGCCTTATGGAGTCACTGCTGGAGCCTCTGGTGGCCGCCATGGTGGCGTATGATGTGACCAAAGGGAAGCATGTAGAGGATGTAGAGGATGAAGAGGAAGGGGCCAAGCACCAAACCTTGGGGGACTCAGAGGGACACAGTTTAATGGTTTTACACACTAAACTCTTCCCTTGTAAAATCAAACACTGTAATGTGAGTTTCTCATAGTGCCAGTGGATTTATACACAGATATACAGAACTGCTTAACAACAGAAACCTATTGAGAAGTTCTGGGAGTCTTTTTCAGCCCGACCCAACAGCCGGATTCATATTCAGACTGGTTTGTTTCTCATTAATGCAAAGCCATATGTTTCAGACGCACTGGGAACAGACAGCAGGGACGAAACCTTTCTACCCTGGCTAAAACACACACACAGTTTAAACTTCCTCACCCCCCCCAGCCCTCAGTGACTCTGTGACACCCTCTCAGCATTATGTGCAGAGAGGTGAATGCTGACTCCCTTTATGACTTAATGGAGGGAACAGCAGATGTTCATTACTTTGCAAAAAAACAAGGTGTATTATTACAAAAGTTCACGAATAGAACAGCAGTTAGTGTATCAGTGTCAGTATTATGAGGGCCCGAGCAGCAACATGCTCCGAATCTCATGAAGCACAGTGCAAAAAAATACGTATTCTGTGGGTCTTGCACATGGATGTGGCAAAATGGCTCTATAGCGCCCCCTAGAAAACTTTCAAACAAAGCTTTGGTCAGTGCATTTTGAAGAAGTTCACGATGAAGAGGTATAAAAAACGGCGTGTGTGGGGCGTTCCTGTGGCGTCATTTCACTGTCGAACAGGAAGTTACAACTTCAGCGTACGTTTTCCAGTCTGCACCAAACTTCACCATAAAGAGTCCCGAACTGAACACATGCAAATATTCAGTCATACTCACAGCGCCACCCACTGGCAACAGGAAGGAAGCCCTATTTGGGCAATCATCATGTCATTTCCAGGGAATTTGAAATGAAAAGTCCTCCATTTGAGTGGTTAATTTTCTACAGAACTCAATTGCTCAATAAGGATTTCAGCTTGATAATAAAGGAGTTTGCTCACAAAGTCCAGCTCACATCTGCTGGATAAAAAAAGGTAAAGTAAACACTGTGTGGGACATTGGTATCCTCTTGTCCAATGGCATCCACAGTGAGTCAGCAGGTTGGGATTCAGTCCGTGGTCATTCATGTTTTCACCCCCTGCTCTGCCGGTTGCATCAGAACAGGTCCTTTAAAGGAAGAGTTTAACATGTTGGCATTTGCTTTATCTCTAACAGTAATGTAAATATCTTTCAACCTTTTGCCTTGTTTTTGTGTCTGAGTGACTAACAATGATGTTTTAAATTGGAGCAGAACAGGCTGCAACGTTATTGTTACGTATGGCCACTAAATGTTTGTGCCACTGACAGACTCAG